TTTTTTTTTTTTTTTGGCTTTTAAAAACTCAAAAGCTGATCAAATATCGGGTTAAATATCGGTGGGGTGGCCGATGTCCGATATTCAGTTTTAAGGCCGATACCGATAGGGGGCCGATTATATCGTGCATCCCTAGCTAAAATCTCTTAGCTTATAACCTGAGTACGTGCAAATCAGCAATTAAGAATCTTGTTTTTGCTGAGATTCATACGTGACCTCCAACATGCATTACTAATGTGGATAAAAGAAAGAGGCCTCTATAATTATTTATATAATTTAAATCCATCAGCACTGAATCTACGTGTATTCTACTAATATCATTTGTTAAACGTTGGTATTAGCTTCTTTGGTTGTTTGTGTTGGTACTAAGGCCTGCAGAAAAAAGAAATCATGCATCTGCGTAAAGTTTGAGAGAAGCTAGCCTGGCTACGATCAGACCCACATCAAGATGTCGGGGAAAGCAGAATAAAGCTTTAGCCTTGCTGCATGCAGTTAGCCAAGCCCTGTTGCTAAGTAATGCTATAAACCTGTCAATCAGACCAGCGCTGTAGCAGGAGATGCTGTGCAAATAAAGCATGTAATAAAGAATGAACTTCTTGATGATTCTGTCATTTTTCCAGCCGTATCTTTATGAACTCAGACACGCAGCAGATGATGAATTTTTCTGGCCTCATCATCAGATCCTGATTTTGTTTGTTTTCTTTCATGCAGCTTCTCTGAAAGTGCCTGAGGATCTGAGCAGCGGCCATGTTTTACAGTCGCCTGCTGTTTTCGGTGTACATCCTCACCTTCCTGATGGGGGTCCCCACCAACATCCTGTCCTTCGTCACCCTCTGCAAGAAGGTGTGTCGCAAGGCGGCGCCCATTGATGTGCTCCTCCTCAACCTCACTATCTCAGACCTCATTTTCCTGACCTTCCTGCCCTTTAAAATGAAGGAGGCGTACGACAACATGGCGTGGCTGATGCCCTACCCTCTTTGCCCGCTGACTGGGTTCATCTTCTATGTCACCATCTATAACAGCACGCTGCTGCTCACAGCTGTGAGCGTGGAGCGCTACCTGGGCGTGGCCTTCCCCCTCAGGTACTCTGTGTGCCGCCGGCCTCGCTACGCCGTGTGGGCCTGCTTGATCTTCTGGGTGGTGACCTCCTGCAACCTCAGCATCGTCTACATCCTGCCGTACTCCCAGTGGAGCTACAGCAGCAACGCCAGCGGGCCCGTCCCACCTCCAACCACCTGCTACCGCAACTTCTCAGAGGCTGAGCTCAAAATTCTGCTGCCCGTTCGCCTGGAGCTTTTCCTCCTGCTCTTTTGCATCCCCTTCATCATCAGCTGCTTCTGCTACGTCAACTTCATCCTCATTCTGTCTCGCCTACCCAACATCAGCCGGCGGCGGAGGCTGAGGTGCATCGGCCTGGCGCTGGGGACGCTGATAGTCTTCGCTGTCTGCTTCGGGCCTTACAATGCCTCCCATGTGGTGGGATTCATCCAACACGAGAGCCAGGAGTGGAGGAATCTGGCGCTGCTCTCCAGCACCCTCAACGCCTGCCTGGATCCATTTATCTTCTACATGTCGTCCACGGCGGTCAGGGGCATGTTAAACCGCTGCTTCACGAGGATCACGGCTAAGATGCACATCCTGGGGTGCAGAAGGAGGCCCGCGCCGTCGGCAGCATCATCTGCAGAGCAGTGAAGGAAAAAAGAACCTGACACGAGCGACATATTTATGAACTTGACTTAATGCCGTTCATGATGAGGATGAAAGAAGTTCTGCAAACTGTTCTTAAACCAGTAAACCTCTATGAAAAGCAGCTGATTTCCCAAATCTGGAGTTGCTGCGTTTCTAGATAGCAAATCCAAACTTGAAACTCTGTGGCTTTAATGTTCTGTTCTTGGATCCCAAACCATTGCTCAACGTTGCCACAACAACTACCATAAATAAAGTTTTAATGTATCTGGAGAAATCCGTTCTCCTTGCTGGTATCCAATGTCTTCATGACTCGACTTCTCCGTCTTCTAAAAAGTCTTCATGCTCCGCCTCATTTAATCACCAGACGGACGGCATGTTTGCTTTCACACCAGCTGCTTGTTACCGGCAGGAAACGGCCGTAATCCGACCATCATGCAGTGTTTGAAGTCCTCTGAGAGCAGAGAGAGTCGCCGTTTACAGCCGGGGCCTGAACACACCGCGGCGTAATCTGTGTTTACACCACCTGCCGGCTGATACGACCTCCTCAGCTTTTTAATTGGCCAAATCCGCTCATAAAACCCTTTGCTTTAATTTGAAAGGGTGACTCTGTTCCTCTTAGAATCACAGACGGATGTTTGGCCAGATGTGTTTCCAGAACTTCTTCAGAAGCAATTTTAGGAGGAAACGCCGAACTAAAAACTCTCCTACCTGAGCGGAACCAGTCTGGATCAGGAAACTTCTCTGGAGATCCACAGCCGCTCACTTTTTCGCAATCAACCCCAGAACCAGAAACATCTTCATCATGTTTCCCATCTCTCCTTCTGTCCTCTGAGGATCCAACTCCATCATCACCTCCAGCTGTCATTGAGTCCAATACTTTTAAGCCCTCCAAAGGTCAAAGGTCACCTTCAACCTGCTGGAAATGGTCCGTCCAGCAGCTGTACCCTCCTCTTCCTCCTCAGTCAGGCCTTCAGATCATGGATGTGGTCTTTAACCCTTTATAGGGCAAGTTAGTGTTTCTGATCACATGCCTACCCCTTACAAATGGAGCCCCCCCCCGTCCCTCAGTGAGGTCTAGATGCACAAGATCTATATCCAGCCATTCAGCAAAGATGCTGCTACATGGCTGTCAGCTTATTTTGGCATTTGACCAATTAGATGAGCATTGATTGATAGATTACCTACTGGAAATTAAGTTGGATACCTCAAGTTAAAAAAGTTAATAAGCCTAGTTAACAATTATATTTAGGTTTATAAACAATAAAATGTAGGTGCTAGTATCAGCATTAATGCATCTAAG